TTCAAAGTTCTATTTTATAACTTCATTTGTAGATTTGATTTTTTATTTTGCACAGACAGAAATATTTTTATTTCAATGCCGCGCTTACGTATTTCTATCAATTCTTAAAAATTATTAATTTAGAATTGTTATTAACTTTATATAATATAAAAAGTTTCAAATATTAATATTTTTATAATTTTATGGAATATGTATATAGATTATTTTATAGAGATGTTTATTATATTCGAGGTATAATAAAATATTTTATATAATGTATATTAATATATATATTCTGTTGCAATTATAAAAAAATAAAATTTAATTGGTTTTATTGTGTACATTTTCTTATTTATAATTAAATAAGTAGAAATTTCAAGAATCCATTTAGAACTGTTATAGCAATAAATGTTATTTCTCGTAGCAACTGAAGATAGGGAAGATATATTATCAGTACAAGATAGAATAGATTTATGAAATAATATATCAGCGCGATTGTGAAAATTATTATATTATATCATTTATGAAATAATTAATTTAAAAGCAAACATAACAAATTAAATGTATGAATAAATGCAGCTTTTGTACAGACAGAATTATAGAAATTTATTATTTACTATATATATTTATCATCCATTGTACATTGAAGTCCGCTAAAGCTTAATAAATGGTAATATTAGTTTTATGTATAAACATGAAACAATATTATATCATGACATTTGTCACTGTTTGTTGGCTGAATAGATCAGATTGTACAGCATTAAGAAACATAGGAACACTATGCTGTTTTTGCAAGTATTGTTCAATCAAATTGCCCAAATTCGCAGAAAAGTCAGTCTCCAACATATCTACACCCTCTTCACCTACATGGAAAAACAAGAAATCATTTGGCGACTCTGCATATTGACTCGACAGCTTGTAGCAACCTTCTTTTGTTCGATCTACCCTCCAACCGAATAACTGATAACATGCTTGGCGGTACTCTTGTGAGGATGCTTTAAAAGCGTCCTTCAAACGCGCTATCTTTATTTCATGTGTTTGTTTCAACTCTGCAATTTCTATATTAAAAGAAGAAAAAGAATGTATTGCTTTGTGTAATAGAAAATAAAAACATGTCTTAAATATGTTTATCCACCTTGTATCTGCAACGATGAAACAGTTGCGCCATAATTTCCCGATGCTACTTTAGCACGAAGTTCTTCCACTTCTTGTAACAGAGCTGCTTGTTTTTCTTCTGCTTGTTTCTCTGCTATTGATGCAGGATTCATCATAAAATGCAGAACTCGGGCGTTGCAGTTAAAATCACCCTTTAACGCACGGTGTTCAAGCTCGCCTCTCAGTTGCTCAATCTCTTCCTTCAATTTATTGTATTCGTTTTTCTGAGTGCCAGTCTCGACCGTTTGAAGATCCATTTCCAATTTGCTGACTAAGTCCCTAAGAAAATTTGAAATATCTTCATAAAATAATTTAATTTCATTGAAGGTTTGCATACAGGGTGCTCTAGAAGTCGTGATACAAAAAGGAAATTATTCATATAAAAGTAAACCGAAAAAAGATAAATTTTTTTTATTTAAAATTCTGTTTTCTAAAAAAAAAAATTTTTTGAATATTTGTTTGCTTGCTCTTGACTAATCATATGCTTTGTTCATCCAATATGATTATTCACTACTATTTTTACATCAGTCTAAATTTAATAATTTTATTATAATTTACAATAATGTAAAATAATAAGTTTTTGATATATTTATTTTGTTAATTGAAAAATTGTTGAAAATGTCTATACAAAAAGAAATTTTATTCTACATTTTCGATTTACCTTTATAGATAAATCGAAAATATTTTGAGGACTTCCTTCTCGATTATACCATGATTTTTTTAATATTCTGTATATGTTAGTACAAAAAATATACCTATATCCATCTATAACACGTTCCAAAGCTGGTATTCTTTCAGTCATTGCATTATTGCCATCTATCGTTATCTCTTTCTCATACATATCCAATTGTTGTCTATAACTGTCTCTCTCTCTAGTGACGAGAATCATCTTTTTCTGAAGTCTATTCACAAGTTTGTTTAATTTATCTTTCGATAATGTCATATCAGTAACTAACTTTCTGGCCTCCTCGTAATTATTTGACAAGTTCTGTGACTCTCGTATAACTGCATCCAATTTTGATCTAAGCTGACCCTCCTCTGCTATTAGGTCCACTTCAGATTGTTGAAGTCTATTTAATTCTCGCTTCATCACCGTTGGTCCTCCAGTAATACCAATAGTTTCATATTCCTGCAAGCGAAGCGCAAGTTCAGATCGCTTTGCTTCTAACATTGCCACTTGTTGCTCTATTTTTTCAGTATGCTCTAGCCTGTAATAAAATGTCATTCGTTAACTAAACAATATTTTATTTCAAACGTGTTAAAATTACCTTTTTGTCATGTTAGCCATTTGTTCTTCTAAAAGTAATTTCTCCTTGACCGATTCTTTTAACACTACAATCGTCTTTTTTGCAGCATTTAATTCTTTCTCCAAGTCATTTGCTCTCGCGGCTCTTCCTGCTAATAGCTTGCCTTCTTCCCACAGTGCTCTTTCTGACTCCAATTTTTCTATTTTCATTTTCATACTCTGTAGTTCCACATTCTGTAATTCGTGGTCCTGTTGCATCTTGAAATATTCCTTCATTTTCTCCTCCAGTATTGCTGCTCTGGTTTCTACAGTTTCTAGTTTCATTTGTAATTCACTTGATTCGTTGATATCTTTAGGAGGAGGAGACTTTTCATTTACAGAAATATTTCTTAGATCTTCGGACAATTTTGCGTTTTCATTTAATAATGATGTTATTTTCCTTTCTAAATTGTTTTTTGCCTAAATAAATACAAATGTCAAAATTGATTTAACATGGCCACAGAAAATGTACATATGTACAATTAATTAATATAAAAAGCAATTACTTGAGACCATTCTTTCTCAGCAGTATCACGCGAATCTTTCGTATCCTGGATTGTCCGCCGTGCAACATCGAGCCGGACTTCCAGCTGCTGAATAGTTTGTTTATCCTGTTCTGTTTGAACTTGCAAAAGACCTTTCTCCTTCTCAAAGACTTCTTCCATCTGTCGACGTATATTGTGTAATTGTTGTACAGCTGCCTCTTGATGCATCAGTTTGGTTTTTAATGATATAACCTATACAAAAATGTAAAAAAATGTTTTTTTAAGTTGAATTAGTTTACAGCTTTCTATACTTAAAGTAAAATAGCTATGCTTAAAATTTAGTGAAATAAAAAAGTAGTTAAATTCTAATTCAGAGAGAGGAATAAAATGTAAATTTGTTATTTCCAAGTTTTTCTTTTGAATCATTTACTTGGATTTTTCTCATACCTATTTAGATTATATCCTCTTACCTCTCCCTTCATACGTCGCCATTCCCAAGGACTACCCGGGACACAGTCAGACTGAATTTTATTATTTGTGGACGTATCAGCTTCATCTACTCTCGGCCGCTTAGGTGAAGAGATGCTATTATCTGAGTCTTCATTGAACTTCGAGGATATGTAGCCAGTTCCTGAGAAACGTACTCCGACGCTTCTGCGATAAGATTCTGCTCCAGAACGTAGGTCTTTTAACATTTTGATAATACTCGTTGGATCCTGATCGCTCATCTACACAAAATTATATTAATTTATTTACGTTATCACATCATTAGTCTGATATCATGACATTAAATGCAGTATGTGAAAACAAATGTTAATAATAGATACATCAATAATCACATTTAACGACAATTACGTTATTTTTACATTTTAATAAGATTCGGTAATTGTTTAGTTTCCTCACCTTCGATGTTTTTCACAAAATGAATGAATCTGGCAAAAAAAGTGTCGCTCTGTCTTGTGGATCGAGATGTTAATTTGTTTTTAAAGCAATGAATTTGTGTTTTTAAGCAGTAAATTTTTGTGTGTGTTCGTAAAACAGAATTTGTGTAATTAAAGCAAAACATCTACACAGAGTGATGTATCAAATCGGAGCGATAGATTATTAACCTCTAAAGTTTTGAACTTCGACGCTTAATAATCGATTCACAAGGCTAACCACTGCATTTTTTTATTAGATTCTTCCGTTTTGAGAGAATCGCGTCGGATAAGTATATTATTATTAAGATTTTAGAAGGGGTGAGTATTTTAAATAGTCTTTCCTTACATTTATCTTGTCCTTTTCTATTATGAACAGAATTCTTGTTTTTCCTAATTAATTAATGGGCGAGTTCGACGGCAAAGCGGCTAGGTACGCTTACTGAGCAATCGAATATGATTGGTTGGATCTTATGTAGGATTCACACTGCATCCGATTTTCGTCGTACGACGACTCTGCAACCAATCAGAAAAATCGTATCATCAATGCGAAGCAAATCCTGTTTTCTGATTGGTTGCAGATTCGTCGTACGACGAAAATCGAATGCAGTGTGAATCCAGCATTAGCCCGGATCTACAATAGAGTTTTAAGCCTTAAGCCATAAGGAATGGACGAATCATAGAAGATTATTCTCCTCAAATTCGACTGTAATTGGTTAATTTCTTACAGCTTAGAGCTTAAAACGCCATATTAAGCTCTAAGCCCCTTTTACACCGAGCACTTGATACGCGTATTAACTAGTAATTTTCTATTAAATAATCTTAATTTCCAATGTATTTAAAGAATAATGTATTAAATTAGTAAAATATGCATCAAAATAATTGATACACATATCAAGCATATGTTTACACATGCTGAAATTAAGATAATTCAATAGAAAGTTACTGGTTAGTACTCGTATCAAGTGCACGATGTAAACTAGGCCTTTGAGCGGCTCGTGAAAATGCACCTTTAAGCAATCATAGCGCTGATAGCGCCTCGCCGAACCCGAACGCATGTTTGTATATCGGGTTTTTAGGTATTCACCGTGGCTTCAGACAAGTTGAGTCGTGCACGCCGTCGTGGTTTGGTTTGGTATGCAACTATGCACGTCTTCCTGTCTTCCCTGGTCTTCCTCGTAGGCTAGTTGAGTCAGCCGTAGTAGTGGCACGTCCGACGTTAGGTAAAAACAACTTTGAGGATGTCCAAGAAGCAGGACAAGGTGGACAACGGCATTGTCGCCGTGAAGAGCAAAGTGGGTGTACCACGTACTATCACTCGTGAATAACATGGAATATGGAGGACATTTGTGGGATTGCGCATTATTTAAATTATTTTACAGTTCGATGCCGACATCATCAGATTCTCCATGAATCGTAACGAGCCTATGAGTTATGAGGACTTTGGGAAGCTATTGGCGCAAAGGCATGATTTGGGGACAGACTTTAGCTTTTCAATTTGGTATACGGATACAGATGGTGATCTACTTCCCATCAATAATGATAATAATCTGGCGAGGGCTTTAGCAAATGCCAAGTGCCTGCTCCGAATTTTTATACATAGGAAAGGTAAGATCCTTAGATTGTATTATATATTGCACGCAAGATGTTTAGGCTGCTTTCTATTTCGTATTTTTTACAAACATTCTATTTTTCTCAACATTTATGTATTGAATAACAAAGATAGAACTTGCGTCAATTTATGTCATTAAATGGAAAGTATCCTATATATCTTGCATGTGTACATTTAGAGTATTTTATAGCAAGAAACACAG